GGAGGGGCGAGCCCGGGAGTCCTCGGTCGGGCGCTGGCCAGGGATGTTTTGCTGCCCGTGGAAAGCCCCTGCCGGGTTTTTGTAGAGCCGCTGGAAACTGGGCTAAGGAGTGAAAGGGAGTCGGAGCTGGATTCCTTCAGAGAGAGGGGAAGTTGACGCACCAGCCTAAGAATAGCTCAGGGAGGGGAAGTATGGACAATGTTGTCACCAAAGGTAACCTCCGCCGTGTGTGTCTCTGTGCCCGTGTCGTGTCAGGAAAATCAGCTTTTCGAGTGACATTCGCTCGGCTTTTCAGGGGCCCGCGCGCGGGGAAGTGGCCGTTTCCCGGTGTAGTAGGTCCATGTGCAATGTTTAGGGTGGTGCCTCGTCGGCGTGTTATCGCGTTCGCTCTCTGGTTATATTTCAGCTGCTGATGAAACCGCGGCCAGAAGTGGAGGAGTCTTTGGGCCTTCCCACGATCGGGGCCTTTGACTCGTAAAAGGCTCCTCCGAGAAGCTTCGCAGACCAGAAGAGGGGAAGAAGGAGCAGCCGGCTGTCGGAGGGAGCAGACCGCGTCCTGGAGCGTGGGGAATTGGGGGGGCGAGAGGAAGTCGCTGTATGTGGAGTTTTCGGACAGTAAGTCGCATGGATTTTTATGCAGCTGCATGGTCTGTGTTCTAAAACAGGTCCGAAGAAGAGGAGAGGGCAAGGGAGGGTGGAGGCTGTCTCCTGGGGAGGGTTCGTTGCTTCTCGAGATTTAAATCTTTAATTACATTTTGCTGGCCGATCCCTGAGTTCCAGAATTTGAGAAGAAAAACAAAGTCGTCCTGAACCCAAAGTCTCGAATGTTCTTGAAACTTTTATCCTGTTGTTTAGCGAGAACCTGAATGCCGAAGTCGTCGCTTTACTTTGCTTGTTTGAAAGTGGGGCAGAGGAAAGACAAACCCAACCAACCTGTTGTGTGGAGAATTCGTCTGACGCTGGGTTGTTTTGTTGGGGTTTGTTTTTTTTTTTTAAATTCCCAAACCCTCCACCTGTTTTCTTTTCTCCTCCGCCAGAAATGCTTTCTCTGAAGAAATACTTCACCGAAGGCCTCATCCAGTTCACCATCCTGCTCAGCTTGATCGGCGTTCGCGTGGACGTGGACACCTACCTGAACTCGCAGCTCCCCCCTCTCCGGGAGATCATTCTTGGCCAGAGCTCCGCTTACACCCAGACCCAGTTTCACAACCTGCGGAACACCTTGGATGGATATGGCATCCACCCAAAAAGCGTAGACCTGGACTATTACTTCACCGCTCGCAGGCTGCTCAACCAGGTGAGGGCCCTGGACAGGTTTCAGGTGCCCACCACCGAAGTCAACGCCTGGTTGGTGCACAGAGACCCCGAAGGCTCCGTGTCCGGTAGCCAGCCCAGCGCCGGCATCGCCCTAGAGAACGGCAGCGGCCTGCAGGATGGGAGCGGTCCCGACAACGGGGTGAGGGAGAGCGGAGCGGAGCAGGGCTTTGGGGAAGAACTGGAAGATTTGGGAGCGGTGGCTGCCCCGGTGAACGGAGACCTGACCAAAGAGGTAGGCAGGTCTTTGCTTTTGCCTGTGGTGGGGGTGGTGGGGGGAAAGGGAGCCCCTGGGGGGGGCTCTTGCCCTCCGGTATCCGTCTGAGCGAGCGGTACTCTGCACGTTGGGTGTGTTTAGCACTGGGGAAGAGTGGGTCCCCTCTTGGGAATGGCGTAATACTAAATTACGGTTCGGTTAGAGGGCTCTGGGTGTACGCGTGGGGCCGCTTTTCCTTTCTGTTTGTTTTATTCTTGGTCTGAAAGTAATAGGAAAAGGAGGGGGAGAGGGTTGGGGTCAGCATTTCAACCCCTGCGCATAGCTTTGTGTTTGTGAAACTGATCAAACGAGGCTGGGTAATAAACAGGGGCATTGGGTAACAGCCTCATCCCAGGTGTCGAGCGGGTGGTTGGGTTACTTGGCTCTGGAGTTCATCCCGTGGCGATGTTTATTGCTTGGTTTTCATCACGGACGGGTGGGGAGAGGTGAACTGGAAAGCGGTTTATTTTTTTTCTGTCGGAGCGCAACCTTTCGGCGGCCGTGATGCAGTGCTGGTCCCCGGGAGCTGCCGCTCTTTCTCCTTTTTGGCACCGCTCTCTTTGTCACGGCACGTTCAGCCTCTCCCTGGCCGCGGCGTGGGGGGACGTTAGCGCCCATTTGCGACGTCGGGTCCTTCCAGCGTCGCTTTCGCGTCTCGTAGATTGCGTCTCGGACGAGCTGCTGAGGCGTCCGGGCATGGGGAGAGCCGAATTCAACCGCTGCCACCCCTGTCCCCCTGCGGCGAGGGGTGGGCAGCTTTGCAGGCAGCTGTCGCGGATGCCTGGGGCTTTTGTCATGTGGCTTCAGCGCAGCGGCAGGCAGGGAATCGAGTGAGGAAAGCGGTGTGAACGCGTGCAGGCCGGAGAGACAAAGGTGACGATTGTTTCGGGTCTGGTATTGAGGGATGAGCAGCGGGATGCTGCCGTGGGAAGCGTGGATGGTGCCTCGGCCGTACCCGCGGGCAGCTTTTCCCCCCGCCCGTGGGGATCTCCTGGCTCCGGAGGCGTTCGGGCTGCGGGACGGAGGGTGAAAACCCCGCTCTGGGTTTGCAACCGGCGTCCTTGGAGGCGTCAACGAGAGGGAGCTTCGGTCGGAGGGTCGCGAAACACGAGGCAAACGTTCGCACGTTCAGCTTCTTCCCCGATAGTCGGGAGAGGTAATTCCTTGTCTCGGGAACGGGGAGGAATTTAATGAAACGCCTTGTGCAAGGTCACGTGCAGGAGATTTCGCTGCCCTTCCCCAAGTCTGGTGTTCTTGGCTGGGGGCGTTGGGTCTGGGGAGCCTTTCAAGCGCGGCGTAGAGAAACCAGGGTCAGATTTGAGAGAGAAACGCTGCGGATTTGAGCGGCAAGAGGCCTGTTTATTTCTGTCTTAAAATACAGTCCTGCGTTGGATGCCGTTGCTGCGAGCCGCCCGCGCGCGGGGGGCTGCTGCGAACCCGGCCCGCTCGGGCTGGCCTTGCCGGGAGCGAAACCGCCGGGCGATGCCGGCTGGGAAGCACGCTCCTCCGCGCTGCGGTTTCACTCCGGTCGCCCCTTTTGGGGAAGGGTGGGGAAATCCGGGTCTGCACCTTCCCCGATCCGGATTCAGGCATCCGGGCTCTTCCTCGGGTCTCTATTCCGGGTCTGCTTCCCCGATCCGGATTCAGGCATCCGGGCTCTTCCTCGGGTCTCTATTTTCTCTTTTTTTTTTCCCCCAAACCCCCCCGGCTTGGAGAGGAGGGTTATTTGCACCTGCAAGGCGCGCTGCGCTGCTGGGGGCACAGCGCCCGGGCACCCAGCGCCAGGAAATCCCGTCTGCCGAGCCCGCCTCGCACACCCACGTCACGCCGTCACGCCGCCCTCTC